ATACACTATCTTATTGTGATTACGACTGAATGAGATCATGAAACATTTTTCCGGATTTAGAAAAAGATTATTTTTCGAACACTAATTCTTAAAATTGTCCAATTCAGACTGAAATAAAAGCGCATCGTCCGCATATAACAAATAGTTGGAAAAATGAAAACAGTTTTTTATATCATTAACATAGATAATAAATAATAACGGACCCAGGTGACTTCCCTGTGGAACTCCCGATGTAGACTCATACGGGAATGATAGACTCTCAGCCACTGACACCCACTGAGACCGGCCCGATAAATACGATCGAAACCAGTCAAGCATGACCCCATCCACACCGACTCCCGCCCATTTTCCTAACAAAATATTATGATCGACCTTGTCAAAAGCCTTACTGAAGTCAGTGTAGAGTCCACCTGTACGCGATCATCCATACTACTCAATATAAATTGGGCATAGCTGATAAGGTTTGTGTCTGTAGACCTCCCAGAAAAAAAACCATGTTGCTCGGGATTTAAAATATTTTTACTAAGGAAAATAGATATTTATAGACAACTTTTTCAAATATTTTAGCAAATATACAAAGTTTAGAAATACCTCTATAATTTTCTACATTTTTCTTGTCGCCCGATTTAAAGATAGGTATGACCCAGGCATGCTTCCATTCAGCAGGAAAGATGCCTGTAGTAAGCGATTGATTAAACAGTTTAGTAAGAGGAGCACATAGACCTCTAGTGCAGTTTCTAACAAAAATTGATGGAATATCATCACATCCGGGCCTCTTTTTGGGATCGAGTTTCCCGAGAACTTCCGATACTTCGCTTTCATCTATATGCAGACAATTCAAACCCGCATGCCCGAGTGTGACAGAAACCAAAGCCGAACTATTTAAATGAGGTTGAAATACACTCTGGAAATATTCCGCAAAAAGATTACTAATGCTCTGATGATCACTTGCCCTCTGAGTTTTATATTTCATATCCATCGGAATGGTAGTGCTGCCGCTTATAGCCGAAACAAAGTGCCAGAATTGTTGGAATCCAAAGTTGTTTGGAATCTCTCCTTCAATATAGTTTAAGTAATTATTATAATCCTCCAGTATAAGTCTTTTAGAGCGGCTTCTGAGCAATTTAAATGTATTAAAATTTTGTAAATTTTTATAAATTTTCCACTTTTTGTGAAACTTATTTTTTTCTTTAATTACCTTTATAGTTGAAGCGGTGAATTAATAGCCCATTGGTACATAATGGGCTATTAATTCTTTTAAAATGATATTGAATCTTGACAAATTAATTTCTATATTATTACTAGATAGCATATTATCCCATTGTACCTCTGATAGTGCTCTATTAATATCATTGTAATAAGCTTTATGAAAATTGAAAAATTTGCAACTAGGAAGAAGAATAGTTTTTGTGTGTTCCAATTAAAGGAGAAATTCTACTGCCGGATGGTGATGATCCTCAGTAACAAGATGTGACGAACAGTGTGATAACATATCAACAGTTTCTGAATTGTTACATAAAATTAGATCCAAAGTTCTACCAGAAACGTTTCTTACGTGGTTGAATTGCATCATACCGCAAAACGAAAATATATCTATTACGTTAGCCGAATTTACGTCTATATTAGTAGCAGTTAAATAATTTTCACACTCTTGGGAGACCCAGTTCAATGCGGAACAATTGAAGTCTCCACAAATGATAACTTTATTGTCTTTACCTAATCGCTCAGCGATCCAGTTCAGTTTAGAAACAAAACTATTTCTTGCATCATCCTCTCCTGGGGGCAGGTATACGCAACAGAAATACACTCCAGCCACTTCTGTCACTTTAAAATATATCCATACATCCTCCGCCTCGCTTTGAAACTCCGGTACCAATGTAGCTTGGAGATAAGTTGCAGTTGCAATAAATACACCACCTCCATCTGACTTCTTCTGGCTTCTGACATGGATGTTTGACGATCTCTACGGAACATGTCGTAATTCCTTACATCGAACAACTCCCGATCAAAAATTGAGTCATTTAACCATGACTCTGTAATAAACAAGATATCAAAGTTGTGTGCCTGTAAATTTATCCGAAAATCATGTAGTTTTGTTCGTAGTCCTCTAACATTTTGATAAAATACGTTTAAAACCGATGTGTTGTTTAAAGTCGTTAATAAACTTAGGATTATGTTAGGTAATTTTTAAATTTGTTTGACAAATTTAAATAGTTTCCAACAGGCTAACATCTGACACATGTATAATCTTCGAACGGTCGTCCTTGCGCAGGAATATCTTTATGTTACGTGTCCACACAAATTTAAATTGCTTCTGTTTGGCAAATTCTCGAGCATCCTTAAATATCACTTGGGAAAATTGGGAAGAAGTATCCTCCGAGTGTAATGTGTAAAGGTATATTTTTCTTGTAATGAAGAAAAATATACGAATAAGAATAATTAAGAATTGGTCAAGTGCGAGTCGGACTCGCGCACGTAGGGTTCCGTACCATTTATTATCTATACAACATTAGACACTATATTACTATAAACTTTTTTTCCGATTTAGCTGAAATTTTGAATGCGCGTATAAGTAATTTATAAAAAAATGATGAAACACATTACTAAAAATTGTATTAATCAATAATAAATATGTAAAAAGTAAAAATAAATATGAAAAAATATGTAGAAATTAAAAAAAAACGATTAAAAAAAGTCGCCTTGACTAGGATTCGAACCTACCTTACTACGGCTCCAAAGTTATAGCAGCGTAAAGTCCTAACGCTTTAACCACGCGACCACCGAGGACTTGAAATATTCTATGTAAAGTTCTTACTTAAAAGATAATGTTTAGTGAAAGTACTTTTTTATTTATAAACATTTATTTAATTCTGTTTTTACTATTTGTTCTTATAGCGGCAACATAGATACATTATCTGTGAAAATTTCAACTATCTAGTTATAACGGTTCATAAGATAGACCTTTGTAACAGACGGACGGACGGACGGACAGCGAAGTCTTAGCAATAGGGTTTCCGTTTTTACCCTTTGGGTTCGGAACCCTAAAAATGTATCTAACCTGTTTTGTTGTGTACATGTTTAAATGTTTTTATATTTATGTTTTTTACTTTTTGGATTTATGAATGTAAAATGGTTTACCGTTAGAATAAATAAATAAAAATAAATAAATATTAATAAACATATTTTTTAAAAGAATAATTTAAAAATAAAAAACGGCGGAAATGCATATCTTTTCATCCAGTAGTTTTATACAGGTACGGACGAAAAGTTTTTATTGGTCAAACTAGTTTAAAAATATGTAGGAGGTCCCCTACAAGTAGGAGTCATATTGACTTCGAAATCCAATTTCACATATCAAAACACTCCCAGACACCAATTTTCATCAAAATATCGATATTAATCTGAATTATTTAAAAAATCAAAATCAAAATGAAACTTTATACACCATTCCAAAACAAAGCATTTTAGGTATATTTATACGAATTTTTGAAGTGAAACTTCTTTACACCCGTTGGGGGTAAAAATTGAAGGGGAGTACATACGAGTAAACTGTAACAACCTTGATTTCACGCATATTTTCATCGATAGGTTTGTAGCTTCTGAATAACGGTCTAGGTGAAGCATCTAGCTCATTTGCCAGCTCAGAATTAGAATTTAGAGTTAGTAACTCGCATTTTCATTGAAAGGCACTGTCATATTTCAAACCAATAACCAACGAGAATATTTGTACAATTTAATAAAATAAACCGCTCCGAAATTATAAACAATTACATACTATTTACATTGTCGTTATGAGCACTTTCCAATCTAAACTTGTTTCATTTATCTACGAACACAGTTTAATATTTTTTAAAACATCCTACTGATTTTTGCAGGTGCATACTTCACAATTCAACAAACCGCCTACATATTCCTCTCTCTACCCATCTTGTTCACCCTCATCTTTATCTGGATGCCCGAATCGCCTTATTACTACGCGATGAAGGGCCAGGACGAGAAAGCAAGAGTCTCTCTAAAGTGGCTTTTAAGAAAGGAGAACGTGGAACCCGACTTCCTGCAGCTAAAAGCCGACGTTAACCGACAGATATCCGAAAAGAGCACTTGGTCCGATTTGTTTACCATTAAAAGTAACCGGAGGGCATTAGCAGCGTGTATATTCCTGCGAGTGAGCCAGGCCTTGGCTGGCATATCGAGCTTTGAAACGTACGTGCAATATATTTTCGAAAAATCCGGAAGCTTAACCGTCAGTCCTCAGGTATCGGCCATGTCTTTTTCCGGACTGTTGTGTATAGTTATGACCGGGCTGGTTTTCACCGTGGACCGGATAGGAAGGCGAAAATCTATGGTTATATCCTGTTTGGGTTCCGCTATTCTACTTTTATCCGAAGCCATTTATTTTTATCTCAAGGACACTGTGCCCGATATAGATTTTTCTCGATTACAGTGGTTTCCTTTGGCCGGACTAATAACCTATGTGTTTTTATTCCGTAGGGTTGGGATTACTTCCGTCCCTGATGGCGGGTGAACTTTATTCTGTCAGTATTAAAGGTAAAGCTCTTTCGGTGACGAATGTCGCGATGGGTTTTATCGTATTCGTCGGCACATTCACGTTTAAAAGTCTGAACAGTGTGACCGGGTTATACGCTCCATTCTTAGTTTTTGCTTGTTGTACGTTCTGTTCGTTCGTATTGTCGTTTTTTATTATTCCAGAAACAAAAGGCAAGACTCTCGAGGAAATCCAGCAAATGCTCAAGGGAAACAGTATAAAAATGTAGGGGCGGACTAAGTGCATATAGGTACGCTATAAAGAAATGTGATTTAGAGACATAATGCTTTATTTAGAAATTATTGAGCGGATTGTGTTTGTTGTTTTTCGAATTTGTTGTGAATGAATGATTGCGTATCACACTTATCACCTACTATTTTCAAAACTGAGATTTGCAGAAAGATAAGATGATTGCAGTTTTTATAACTTGGTTAATTCTTAAAATCTCTATAAGTTTTAAAACTATTTGGATAATAAATAGTGTGTATACCTTTTTGGCGGTATTATTTTTTGAAAAGGCGTCTGGGATTTTCGCTACAAGAAGATCTACAGAATAAAAAAAATATTTTTTTAAACACTACTCCGTTGGCCTAACGGAGACCAGTTTGTCTAAAAGATCATAAACATTTATATTTTGCAAAATTTCTTCCAATGGCGAAAAAAACAGAATACTTTTCTACATATATTTAGATAATCTTAGATGTTTCATAACTATGTATATTTTAACGCTGAACTAGCAATAGACTAAGAAAAAAATATTATATTGGCATTATTAGGGAAATTATTTTTACTACCTAATAACGATACCATGATTTTTATCTGGATGCCCGAATCGCCTTATTACTACGTGATGAAGGGCCAGGACGAGAAAGCAAGTGCCTCTCTAAAGTGGCTTTTAAGAAAGGAGAACTTCGAACCCGACTTCCTGCAGCTAAAAGCCGACGTTAACCGACAGATATCCGAAAAGGGCACTGGGTCCGATTTGTTTACCATTAAAAGTAACCGGAGGGCTTTAGCGGCGTGTATATTACGTATATTGTACGTGCAATATATTTTCGAAAAATCCGGAAGCTTAACCGTCAATCCTCACGTGTCAGCTATGTATTTTTCCGGACTGTTGTGTATAGTTATGACCGGGTTGGTTTTCACCGAGGACCGGATAGGTAGGCGAAAATCTATGGTTATATCGTGTATGGGTCCGCTATTCTACTTTAAACCGAACCCATTTATTTTAATCTGCAGGACACTGTGCCTGATATAGATTTTTCTCGATTACAGTGGTTTCCGTTGGCCGGACTAATAACCTATGTGTTTTTTATTCCATAGGGTTGGGACTACTTTCGTCTTTGATAGCGGGTGAACTTTATTCTCTCAGTATTAAAGGTAAGGCCATTTCGGGGACGAATGTCGCGATAGGTTTTATCGCCTTCGTCGGTATAGAAAGCAGTAAAAAAACGTAGAGGTGGACCAAGTACAAATATGAAAGCTATAAAGAAATGTGATTTAGAGACGAAATGCTTTATTTAGAAATTATTGAGCGGATTTTGTTTGCTGACCAAGATTCCCTTGGTCTTGCAGTTAATGAGTAGTATTAGTCTTGGACTTGCAAGGTCCAATCATGGTCTTGAACAAGGCTCTTGCAAGTCTTGACTTTTCTTAATAAATTTTTACTAGGGAGACTTTATTCATAGAATAATAGTATTTTGGTAATTTAATGCAAATAAGACTTTAAAGAAAAAACTAGTAGAATGTTGTCTGACGGAAATTTTTATTTTTCAAACTATTGTACCGAATCAGTATTGTAAACTGTGTGTAAATTTTGAAGAAAATTGTATGAAATAGACCGGGAATATACTGAAAATTGGGCTATCAACATTACTGAAAATATAATACGTAAAAAACTGTCCAACGATCTAGGGAAAATTTCAACAAACGACATTCAAAAAAGGACAGATAAGTAATTCAATTTACCTCTGAAATAAAACGACACACATAACTGTAAATGTCGTATATATTTTCGCGTTAGATATACATAATTTTTTTACGACTTAAAATACTACCCTTTTTAGTTTTAATAGTTACTTTTATCTGTCTATGCCATTGTCAAAATTAGCGCAGGAGCGGTAATTTTGACAATGGGTAGTATTAGTCTTGGACTTGCAGGGTCCAATCATGATCTTGAACAAGGCTCTTGCAAGTCTTGTCTTTTCTTAATAGATTTTTACTAGGGAAACTTTATTCATAGAATAATAGTATTTTGGTAATTTAATGCAAATAAGACTTTAAAGAAAAAACTAGTAGAATATGTTGTCTGACGGAAATTTTTATTTTTCAAACTATTGTACCGAATCAGTATTTTTTTGGCCGGACTAATAACCTATGTGTTTTTTTATTCCGTAGGGTTGGGATTACTTCCGTCCCTGATGGCGGGTGAACTTTATTCTGTCAGTATTAAAGGTAAAGCTCTTTCGGTGACGAATGTCGCGATGGGTTTTATCGTCTTCGTCGGCACATTCACGTTTAAAAGTCTGAACAGTGTGACCGGGTTATACGCTCCATTCTTAGTTTTTGCTTGTTGTACGTTCTGTTCGTTCGTATTGTCGTTTTTTATTATTCCGGAAACAAAAGGCAAGACTCTCGAGGAAATCCAGCAAATGCTCAAGGGAAACAGTATAAAAATGTAGGGGCGGACTAAGTGCATATAGGTACGCTATAAAGAAATGTGATTTAGAGACATAATGCTTTATTTAGAAATTATTGAGCGGATTGTGTTTGTTGTTTTTCGAATTTGTCGTGAATGAATGATTGCGTATCACACTTATCACCTACTATTTTCAAAATTGAGATTTGCAGAAAGATAAGATGATTGCAGCTTTTACAACTTCGTTAATTCTTAAAATCTATATAAGTTTTAAACTATTTGGATAATAAATAGTGTTTATACGTTTTTGGCGGTATTATTTCTTGAAAAGGCGTCTGGGATTTTCGCTACAAGAAGATCTTCAGAATAAAAAAAATATATTTTTAAACACTACTCCGTTGGCCCAACGGAGACCAATTTGTCTAAAAGATCATAAACATTTATATTTTGCAGAATTCCTTCCAATGGCGAAAAAAACAGAAATCCAGAGATCATCCTTAGATGTTCCATAACTATGTATATTTTAACGCTGAACTAGCAATAGACTAAGAAAAAAATATTATATTGGCATTATTAGGGAAATTATTTTTACTACCTAATAACGATACCATGATTTTTATCTGGATACCCGAATCGTCTTAAGTGATGAAGGGCCAGGACGAGAAAGCATGTGTCTCTCTAAAGTGGCTTTTAAGAAAGGAGAACGTGGAACCCGACTTCCTGCAGCTAAAAGCCGACGTTAACCGACAGATATCCGAAAAGGGCACTTGGTCCGATTTGTTTACCATTAAAAGTAACCGGAGGGCTTTAGCGGCGTGTATATTCCTGCGAGTGAGCTAGGCCATAGCAGGCATATCGACCTTTGAAACGTACGTGCAATATATTTTCGAAAAATCCGGAAGCTTAATCGTCAGTCCTCAGGTATCGGCCATGTTTCTTTTCCGGAATGTTGTGTATAGTTATGACCGGGCTGGTTTTCACCGTTGACCGGATAGGAAGGCGAAAATATATGGTTATATCGTGTATGGGTTCCGCTATTCTACTTTTATCCGAAGCCATTTATTTTTATCTCAAGGACACTGCGCCCGATAGAGATTTTTCTCGATTACAGTGGTTTCCGTTGGCCGGACTAAATAACGTATGTGTTTTTTTATTCCCTAGGGTTGGGGTTACTCCCGTCCCTGATGGCGGGGGTGAACTTTATTCTGTCAATATTAAAGGTAAGGCTCTTTCGGTGACGAATGTCCCCATACAGCACGTCTAAATGAAATTACGTTTCTACAAGGGAGACACATGAAGAACAAAATATGTTAAAGTGAACCTAAGTGTTCATCTAGTTCTAACATATACATATGAGATACACGCAGGTTTATATTGATAGAATTGTGTGATAGAGTGTTTACTAGTTGTATACCGTGTGCACACACGATTCTAAAGCGTTTTTTGTAACGTAACAAATAATTATTAAAATGATGAAATCTGACGTCGGTATATGAGACATACAATGTATAAGTCATATGTATGTGTGATACTTCGCATCATAGTTGTGCTTATAGTACAGACCTTGTAAAAATGTGACGTATATACATAATATAAATATCTATATAGACACTTTGTAATAGTGTACTGTTGTATCTACATTCTAGCATGAAATGAAGGTGTGCGCACGCGCGGATACCCTCAGCGTAGATACACCGACCAAGTGTATCTTATGTGTTCTCTCTCCTTTCTCCTTTCTAGCAGTGGTATGTGTTAGCAGCCATTATTGTTTTATCATTCGGAAGCTCTATATAGATGTTCTATGTGTGTATAGTTTAAAAGAGATTTAAAGGTAAGCACAAGTTTTTAATTACCTTGTTACACCTTCCTAAGTGTATTATTAATATTATAGTAGCGACTCTTCCCGTACTCGATACCCTTTACCAAATGTTGACTCCAATGAATGAAAACTCCAAATATTCTCGTATAATGATAAAGAGGTTAGCTCTGCAATATATATTTTTAATTTGGAAATAATAAAAATCTAAATGGACCAGAGAAAGAAAGATTTAAACACTTCAAAGAACTTCTTACACTGATATTCGGTAAGTTATTGATGGATCAATATACAGATATGTTTAATATTCAATAATCAGTTTCATATAAAATTTAAGGGTGAGATTGTTAATCTGGAAATAAAATACAACAAAGTCCAACAGAGTGCTCGATGAATGAGTATGCTAATAAACCAACTGCTTGGAAGGAAAAGAGGAGAAAAAATAAGTAAACGAGGTCCACCAAATCGTGGCGATATACCAGTGTTTACCATTTTAGTATGTTGTTATACTAGGTACTTATATTTTTAATACATTTTGATACAAATTCTGTTCTTTTACAGTGTTTTCTTAGTTCTGGTTTCTGCAGTGTAAATAATTATTATTATTGTGTTATTTGCGCTATTGCGTTTCATGATATAAAGAAATATAAGGATTTTATTTTTTAACCACTTAATCCATTTTATGGAAGAAAACTGGTACATTTAATACAAAAGAAAAATGGAACAATTTTAAGGCTACTTCTCTTGAACTTACGATCGAGATACTTTTGGAAAGTACAAAGTTTTGCCTTCTAATTTTCGTTCTAAAAGATATAATTGGTATCATTGAATAAATATTTCTTAAAAGAACGAAAAGTTAGGCATCAAAACTTGTATTATTTCTAAATTCGTTCATAAGAAGTAGTTTTATCTAGCACAAGATGTATATACGAAGCAAAATACATACATATACACGCGGTAGTCACAACTGCAATGTGTAAACAGAGTTTAAACGTAATACACAAGCACTGTGTATCCTACGGCACACTGTGTATCCCCTTGCTTTGTGTATACGTAAATGCTATACTGTGGCTACATTGTGAGGCGGACGTTTAACCTTTGTGCATACGTGTTGAACTACAATGTGTAAACGTAGCATATTTACATCGGGGGAATTGTGTCACCCTGTGTCTACATCTAATAGTGTAAACACATCGTAAATGTGATTTGATGTGCTGTATGGGTCGCGATGGGTTTTATCGTCTTCGTCGACACATACACGTTTAAAAGTCTGAACAGTGTGGCCGGGTTATACGCTCCATTCTTAGCTTTTGCTTGTTGTACGTTCTGTTCGTTCGTATTGTCGTTTTTTATTATTACGGAAACAAAAGGCAAGACTCTCGAGGAAATCCAGCAAATGCTCAAGGGGAACAGTATAAAATCGTATGGGCGGACTAAGTGCATATATGTATGCTATAAAGAAATGTGAATTAGAGACATAATGCTTTATTTAGATATTATTGAGCGGATTTTGTTTGCTGTTTTTCGAATTTGTAATGAATTAATGATTGCCGTATCACACTTATCACCTAATGTTTTCGAAATTGAGATTTCCAGATAGATAAAATGATTGCAATTTTTACAACTTGGTTAATTCTTAAATTCTATATAAGTTTTAAAACTGTTTGGATAATAAATAGTGTCTATACCTTTTTGGCGATATTATTTCTTGAAAAGGTGTCTGGAGTTTTCGCCACAAGAGGATCTACAGAATAACAAAGTTATTTTTTTAAACACTACTCCGTTGATACAACGGAGACCAATTTGTCTAAAAGTTCATAAGCTTTTTTATTTTGCAGAATTTCTTCCAATGGCGAAAAAAACAGAAAACTTTTCAACATATATTTAGATAATGTTAGATGGTCCATCCAACTATGTATATTTTAACACTGAACTAGCAATAGGTAAAGAAAAAAATATTATGTTGGCATTATTAGGTAAATTATTTTTACTACCTTATAACGATAAAAAAATACCATCACTTTTATCTGGATGCAAAAATCGCCTTATTACTACGCAAGGACGGACCACGACGAGAAAGCAAGAGTCTCCCTAAAGTGGCTTTTAAGAAAGAAGAACGTGGAACCCGACTTCCTGCAGCTAAAAGCCGACGTTAACCGACAGATATCCGAAAAGGACACTTGGTCCCATTTGTTTACCATTAAAAGTAACCGTAGGGATTTAGCGGCGTGTATATTCCTACGAGTGAGCCAGGCCATGGCATGGCCGGCATATCGACCTTTGAAACGTACGTGCAATATATCATCGAAAAATCCGGAAGCTTAACCGTCAGTCCTCAGGTATCGGCCATGTTTTTTTCGGACTGTTGTGTATAGTTATGACCGGGCTGGTTTTCACCGTGGACCGGATAGGAAGGCGAAAATATATGGTTATATCGTGTATGGGTTCCGCTATTCCACTTTTATCCGAAGCCATTTATTTTTATCTCAAGGACACTGCGCCCGATAGAGATTTTTCTCGATTACAGTGGTTTTCATTGGCCGGACTAATAACCTATGTGTTTTTTTATTCCCTAGGGTTGGGGTTACTCCCGTCCCTGATGGCGGGGGTGAACTTTATTCTGTCAATATTAAAGGTAAAGCTCTTTCGGTGACGACTGTCGCGATGGGTTTTATCGTCTTCGTCGGCACATTCACGTTTAAAAGTCTGAACAGTGTGACCGGGTTATACGCTCCATTCTAGTTTTTGCTTGTTGTACGTTCCGTTCGTTCGTATTGTCGTTTTTTATTATTCCGGAAACAAAAGGCAAGACTCTCGAGGAAATCCAGCAAATGCTCAAGGGAAACAGTATAAAAATGTAGGGGTGGACTAAGTGCATATATGTACGCTATAAATAAATGTGATTTAGAGACATAATGCTTTATTTAGAAATTATTGAGCGGATTTTGTTTGTTGTTTTTCGAATTTGTCGTGAATGAATGATTGCGTATCACACTTATCACCTACTATTTTCAAAATTGAGATTTGCAGAAAGATAAGATGATTGCAGTTTTTACAACTTGGTTAATTCTTAAAATCTATATAAGTTTTAAAACTATTTGGATAATAAATAGTGTGTATACCTTTTTGGCGGTATTATTTTTTGAAAAGGCGTCTGGGATTTTCGCTACAAGAAGATCTACAGAATAAAAAAAAATATTCTGCTCCGTTGGCCTAACGGAGACCAGTTTGTCTAAAAGATCATAAACATTTACATTTTGCAAAATTTCTTCCAATAGCGAAAAAACAGAATACTTTTCTACATATATTTAGATAATCTTAGATGTTTCATAACTATGTATATTTTAACGCTGAACTAGAGCAATAGATTAAGAAAAAAATATTATATTAGCATTATTAGGGAAATTATTTTTACTACCTAATAACGATACCATGATTTTTATCTGGATGCCCGAATCGCCTTATTACTACGCGATGAAGGGCCAGGACGAGAAAGCAAGTGGCTCTCTAAAGTGGCTTTTAAGAAAGGAGAACGTGGAACCCGACTTCCTGCAGCTAAAAGCCGACGTTAACCGACAGATATCCGAAAAGAGCACTTGGTCCGATTTGTTTACCATTAAAAGTAACCGGAGGGCATTAGCAGCGTGTATATTCCTGCGAGTGAGCCAGGCTTTGGCCGGCATATCGAGCTTTGAAACGTACGTGCAATATATTTTCTAAAAATCCGGAAGCTTAACCGTCAGTCCTCAGGTATCGGCCATGTTTTTTTCCGGACTGTTGTGTATAGTTATGACCGGGCTGGTTTTCACCGTGGACCGGATAGGAAGGCGAAAATCTATGGTTATATCCTGTATGGGTTCCGCTATTCTACTTTTATCCGAAGCCATTTATTTTTATCTCAAGGACACTGTGCCCGATATAGATTTTTCTCGATTACAGTGGTTTCCTTTGGCCGGACTAATAACCTATGTGTTTTTTTATTCCGTAGGGTTGGGATTACTTCCGTCCCTGATGGCGGGTGAACTTTATTCTGTCAGTATTAAAGGTAAAGCTCTTTCGGTGACGAATGTCGCGATGGGTTTTATCGTCTTCGTCGGCACATTCACGTTTAAAAGTCTGAACAGTGTGACCGGGTTATACGCTCCATTCTAGTTTTTGCTTGTTGTACGTTCCGTTCGTTCGTATTGTCGTTTTTTATTATTCCGGAAACAAAAGGCAAGACTCTCGAGGAAATCCAGCAAATGCTCAAGGGAAACAGTATAAAAATGTAGGGGTGGACTAAGTGCATATATGTACGCTATAAATAAATGTGATTTAGAGACATAATGCTTTATTTAGAAATTATTGAGCGGATTTTGTTTGTTGTTTTTCGAATTTGTCGTGAATGAATGATTGCGTATCACACTTATCACCTACTATTTTCAAAACTGAGATTTGCAGAAAGATAAGATGATTGCAGTTTTTATAACTTGGTTAATTCTTAAAATCTCTATAAGTTTTAAAACTATTTGGATAATAAATAGTGTGTATACCTTTTTGGCGGTATTATTTTTTGAAAAGGCGTCTGGGATTTTCGCTACAAGAAGATCTACAGAATAAAAAAAATATTTTTTTAAACACTACTCCGTTGGCCTAACGGAGACCAGTTTGTCTAAAAGATCATAAACATTTATATTTTGCAAAATTTCTTCCAATAGCGAAAAAAGCAGAATACTTTTCTACATATATTTAGATAATCTTAGATGTTTCATAACTATGTATATTTTAACGCTGAACTAGCAATAGATTAAGAAAAAAATATTATATTAGCATTATTAGGGAAATTATTTTTACTACCTAATAACGATGCCATGATTTTTATCTGGATGCCCGAATCGCCTTATTACTACGCGATGAAGGGCCAGGACGAGAAAGCAAGTGGCTCTCTAAAGTGGCTTTTAAGAAAGGAGAACGTGGAACCCGACTTCCTGCAGCTAAAAGCCGACGTTAACCGACAGATATCCGAAAAGAGCACTTGGTCCGATTTGTTTACCATTAAAAGTAACCGGAGGGCATTAGCAGCGTGTATATTCCTGCAAGTGAGCCAGGCCTTGGCCGGCATATCGAGCTTTGAAACGTACGTGCAATATATTTTCGAAAAATCCGGAAGCTTAACCGTCAGTCCTCAGGTATCGGCCATGTTTTTTTCCGGACTGTTGTGTATAGTTATGACCGGGCTGGTTTTTACCGTGGACCGGACAGGAAGGCGAAAATCTATGGTTATATCCTGTTTGGGTTCCGCTATTCTACTTTTATCCGAAGCCATTTATTTTTATCTCAAGGACACTGTGCCCGATATAGATTTTTCTCGATTACAGTGGTTTCCTTTGGCCGGACTAATAACCTATGTGTTTTTTTATTCCGTAGGGTTGGGATTACTTCCGTCCCTGATGGCGGGTGAACTTTATTCTGTCAGTATTAAAGGTAAAGCTCTTTCGGTGACGAATGTCGCGATGGGTTTTATCGTCTTCGTCGGCACATTCACGTTTAAAAGTCTGAACAGTGTGACCGTGTTATACGCTCCATTCTTAGTTTTTGCTTGTTGTACGTTCTGTTCGTTCGTATTGTCGTTTTTTATTATTCCAGAAACAAAAGGCAAGACTCTCGAGGAAATCCAGCAAATGCTCAAGGGAAACAGTATAAAAATGTAGGGGCGGACTAAGTGCATATAGGTACGCTATAAAGAATTGTGATTTAGAGACATAATGCTTTATTTAGAAATTATTGAGCGGATTGTGTTTGTTGTTTTTCGAATTTGTCGTGAATGAATGATTGCGTATCACACTTATCGCCTACTATTTTCAAAATTGAGATTTGCAGAAAGATAAGATGATTGCAGTTTTTACAACTTGGTTAATTGTTAAAATCTATATAAATTTTAAAACTATTTGGATAATAAATAGTGTGTATACCTTTTTGGCGGTATTATTTTTTGAAAAGGCGTCTGGGATTTTCGCTACAAGAAGATCTACAGAATAAAAAAAATATTTTTTTAAACATTACTCCGTTGGCCTAACGGAGACCAGTTTGTCTAAAAGATCATAAACATTTATATTTTGCAAAATTTCTTCCAATGGCGAAAAAAACAGAATACTTTTCTACATATATTTAGATAATCTTAGATGTTTCATAACTATGTATATTTTAACGCTGAACTAGCAATAGACTAAGAAAAAAATATTATATTGGCATTATTAGGGAAATTATTTTTACTACCTAATAACGATACCATGATTTTTATCTGGATGCCCGAACCGCCTTATTACTACGCGATGAAGGGCCAGGACGAGAAAGCAAGTGCCTCTCTAAAGTGGCTTTTAAGAAAGGAGAACTTCGAACCCGACTTCCTGCAGCTAAAAGCCAACGTTAACCGACAGATATCCGAAAAGGGCACTGGGTCCGATTTGTTTACCATTAAAAGTAACCGGAGGGCTTTAGCGGCGTGTATATTACGTATATTGTACGTGCAATATATTTTCGAAAAATCCGGAAGCTTAACCGTCAATCCTCACGTGTCAGCTATGTATTTTTCCGGACTGTTGTGTATAGTTATGACCGGGCTGGTTTTCACCGAGGACCGGATAGGAAGGCGAAAATCTATGGTTATATCGTGTATGGGTCCGCTATTCTACTTTAAACCGAATCCATTTATTTTAATCTGCAGGACACTGTGCCTGATATAGATTTTTCTCGATTACAGTGGTTTCCGTTGGCCGGACTAATAACCTATGTGTTTTTTATTCCATAGGGTTTGGGCTACTTCCGTCTTTGATAGCGGGTGAACTTTATTCTCTCAGTATTAAAGGTAAGGCCATATCGGTGACGAATGTCGCGATAGGTTTTATCGCCTTCGTCGGTATAGAAAGCAGTAAAAAAACGTAGAGGTGGGCCAAGTACAAATATGAAAGCTATAAAGAAATGTGATTTAGAGACAAAATGCTTTATTTAGAAATTATTGAGCGGATTTTGTTTGCTGACCAAGATTCCCTTGGTCTTGCAGTTAATGAGTAGTATTAGTCTTGGACTTGCAAGGTCCAATCATGGTCCAACGATCTAGGGAAAATTTCAACAAACGACATTCAAAAAAGGACAGATAAGTAATTCAATTTACCTCTGAAATAAAACGACACACATAACTGTAAATGTCATATATATTTTCGCGTTAGATATACATAATTTTTTTACGACTTAACATACTACCCTTTTTAGTTTTAATAGTTACTTTTATCTCTCTATGCCATTGTCAAAATTACGGCAGGAGCGGTAATTTTGGCAATGGGTAGTATTAGTCTTGGACTTGCAAGGTCCAATCATGGTCTTGAACAAGGCTCTTGCAAGTCTTGCCTTTTCTTAATAGATTTTTACTAGGGAGACTTTATTCATAGAATAATAGTATTTTGGTAATTTAATGCAAATAAGACTTTAAAGAAAAAACTAGTAGAATATGTTGTCTGACGGAAATTTTTATTTTTCAAACTATTGTACCGAATCAGTATAGTAAATTGTGTGTAAATTTTGAAGAAAATTGTATGAAATAGACCGGGAATATACTGAAAATTGGGCTATCAACATTACTGAAAATATAATACGTAAAAGACTGTCCAACGATCTAGGGAAAATTTCAACAAACGACATTCAAAAAAGGACAGATAAGTAATTCAATTTACCTCTGAAATAAAACGACACACATAACTGTAAATGTCATATATATTTTCGCGTTAGATATACATAATTTTTTTACGACTTAAAATACTACCCTTTTTAATTTTAATAGTTACTTTTATCTCTCTATGCCATTGTCAAAGTTACCGCAGGAGCGGTAATTTTGACAATGGGTAGTATTAGTCTTGGACTTGCAAGGTCCAATCATGGTCTTGAACAAGGCTCTTGCAAGTCTTGTCTTTTCTTAATAGATTTTTACTAGGGAAACTTTATTCATAGAATAATAGTATTTTGGTAATTTAATGCAAATAAGACTTTAAAGAAAAAACTAGTAGAATATGTTGTCTGACGGAATTTTTTATTTTTCAAACTATTGTACCGAATCAGTATTGTAAATTGTGTGTAAATTTTGAAGAAAATTGTATGAAATAGACCGGGAATATACTGAAAATTGGGCTATCAACATTACTGAAAATATAATACGTAAAAGACTGTCCAACGATCTAGGGAAAATTTCAACAAACGACATTCAAAAAAGGACAGATAGGTAATTCAATTTACCTCTGAAATAAAACGACACACATAACTGTAAATGTCATATATATTTTCGCGTTAGATATACATAATTTTTTTACGACTTAAAATACTACCCTTTTTAATTTTAATAGTTACTTTTATCTCTCTATGCCATTGTCAAAATTACCGCAGGAGCGGTAATTTTGACAATAAAAGTAATAATAGTCTTGGACTTCAAAGGTCCAATCATGGTCTTGAACAAGGCTCTTGCAAGTCTTGTCTTTTCTTAATAGATTTTTACTAGGGAAACTTTATTCATAGAATAATAGTATTTTGGTAATTTAATGCAAATAAGACTTTAAAGAAAAAAACTAGTAGAATATGTTGTCTGACGGAAATTTTTATTTTTCAAACTATTGTACCGAATCAGTATTGTAAATTGTGTGTAAATTTTGAAGAAAATTGTATGAAATAGACCGGGAATATACTGAAAATTGGGCTATCAACATTACTGAAAATATAATACGTAAAAGACTGTCCAACGATCTAGGAAAATTTCAACAAACGACATTCAAAAAAGGACAGATAGGTAATTCAATTTACCTCTGAAATAAAACGACACACATAACTGTAAATGTCATATATATTTTCGCGTTAGATATACATAATTTTTACGACTTAAAATACTACCCTTTTTAATTTTAATAGTTACTTTTATCTCTCTATGCCATTGTCAAAATTACCGCAGGAGCAGTAATTTTGACAATAAATAGTATGTAGTCTTGGACTTGCAAGGTCCAATCATGGTCTTGAACAAGGCTCTTGCAAGTCTTGTCTTTTCTTAATAGATTTTTACTAGGGAAACTTTATTCATAGAATAATAGTATTTTGGTAATTTAATGCAAATAAGACTTTAAAGAAAAAACTAGTAGAATATGTTGTCTGACGGAAATTTTTATTTTTCAAACTATTGTACCGAATCAGTATTGTAAATTGTGTGTAAATTTTGAAGAAAATTGTATGAAATTGACCGGGAATATACTGAAAATTGGGCTATCAACATTACTTATATGATACGTAAAAGACTGTCCAACGATCTAGGGAAAATTTCAACAAACGACATTCAAAAAAGGACAGATAAGTAATTCAATTTACCTCTGAAATAAAACGACACACATAACTGTAAATGTCATATATATTTTCGCGTTAGATATACATAATTTTTTTACGACTCAAAATACTACCCTTTTTAGTTTTAATAGTTACTTTTATCTCTCTCTGCCATTGTCAAAATTACCGCAGGAGCGGTAATTTTGACAATGGCATAGAGAGATAAAAGTAACTAATGTTAAAGTACCTCAATAAACTTGCTTCGTGACCAAACAAATATGGAGTCAAAAAGTCCTCCCCAATTGTTTATTAGGTAGTTAAATCTATACCCCGAATTTTTAGGGGATAGATTTAATATTCAGTTAATGTTTGAGCCAGTGTCTTAACTATTTAAATTAAGCGAATTTAAAACAATAACTAATAATTTTCATGTTATGTTATTATTTATTATTTAATATTATCATTGTATACCTAATAATATGTAAAAATAAACATCATTAATCGATCATTAATTTAATTTTAAAATTATTTGTGTACCTTTCGTCATCATTTTTATTGGTACGAAAAATATATTTTTTTTTGGACATCCAATTAGTTCTAACTACTAATAGTAAGGGTAAAGTACTCATTTTATTCACTAAAGAATGCAGAACTATTATAGTAGTACAATCAACTGAATTAAAACACCTTCTGTACTTTATTTTAATATAATTGAACTTTAATGATACCACATATATTATCTGACAAACGGATCTAAAACAGCAAGAGGAATGCGGGCAAAAAAAGTCGACGTTGTCACGTTTAATAATAGAAAAGCAAAGTTGCTCAATATTAGCTATAAATTGAATATATTTTAGTCCATTTCAGCATACATAGTTATTAATATGCTAATATCTTGACGTTGTTCTTATTGTATTAACGTATATTTATCTAATTAACTGATCTTCCTCATTCTGCCTATTATAAAAGGTAAAGTATTTCCTAAAAATAACGTCCGCTTAGGGCAAGCTGGCAACGCTGACAAAATTCATCATGGCATCCCGGATTCAACCAATCTGATTGGTCGAGATTCTCGCACGTCTTGCCGCCGTTACCCCCAACTTTATGCCCCTCTCTAGGAATTGTAGAAACAGCCACTACTACTGAAAAATCCAGTGGCGGTGTATTATATTGTGTTTTATACCTTTAACTTTATTTCTGCATATTGTAATTAGTACACGCGTTTTAACAAATATTACTATATTTGGCAAATGACTAAACAAAATGTAGGTACATTTAACGAAAAATAATATTATAAACTTTACTGGAAAATATTATAAAAATTCCTGATATATTTTTATGAAACACCGCACGCTCCTGGATA